TGGCTCCGCCGCCTCCCCCGGCTCGGTGTCGGGTTACAGCCCCCGCGCCGCGGGCTGCCGGCTCCAACTCGCCGCAAACTTGCGTGTGCCTCCCCGCCGCTGCAGCGACCCCTGGGGGCTCTGGGCCGAGGGAGCGGGGCTGGGGGCTTCTCCCCCTCCGCTGGGCCCCGGCTGGGTGGTGCAGGCACCAGCTCGGGACACTTTCAAGACACAGTTGGATGTTTCTCTTGCCGCGATCCTGTGACCCCAGCTGAGTTGCTGCCCTTGAGGCAGGGGGCTGGACCCGATGATCTTGCGAGGTCCCTTCCAGCCCTAATGTCTATGAAATCTAGTCACACGAAGCCTTTTCTCCTTGCTCTTGGGCCACCTTCAGTACCAGCCTCTCCATGGGCAACTAGTGCCACCTTAGTCGGGGCAGGGCGCACATGCCCCCCCCAGCAAGCAGTCAGCAAGGAGGGGAGGGGCTTCCTGCGCAGCTGATCTTGCGGACTGGGGGGAGGTGGCACGGTGCTCCCAGAAGTGGCCACAGCGCTTCATCCAGCGCTCCCACTCTCCAGCCGGCGCTCCCAGGAGGGGCACTGGTGCTCCTATCTGCTCCCCCTGCCTGTCGCCCAAGTGTGGAGCACGGCCTGTCAGGGGGTTCACCAGCGCTCTTAGGGGGTGCGTGTGCATTTCCTAGGCATTGCCACTGAGCCTGTCCTAAATCTTGTCCAAGTTCCTGGTGACGGATGCAATGCAGCATGGGCAGTGCTGTAGCAAGGTGCGGGTGGGGGTGGAGGGGCAATCGCCCTGGACACCAAAGCAGAGAGGAACACCAACAGGCACTGCCTAGCCAAGGCAGGGCGCAGGACAGAGCTGTGAGTGGCTTGTTTGAGGGGTCATGGGGACTGGTGAAGAGCAAATCCCGCCACTGCATGCACTCCTGGGCAAGAATGGGGTGGGTGGGTGCCCCCTGGACCTGTGTTCGGGACTGTGGCTGGGCTGCAGGCTTTGCCCTGGCCACCAAACTTGGTTGCTACGGCACTGAGCATGGGTACCCAGGGCCGGATTAATGCATAGACCAGGACTTGTCAACCGGGGGTACACATACCCCTGGGGATACTTGGAAAGGGGCTAGGGAGGTATGCACAGGTGGGTGGGAACAGAGCACTGCCACCATGCACTGCTGCCTCCCAAGAGCAGGGCTGGGGGGGCCCTGGTACAGATGAACTAGGCACATGTCTAGGACCCTAAGCTGTGGGGGCAAGGGCTGATCCTTCCCTCCCAGGCCCCATCTGCTTCCCTTTCCTTCCCTTCTCCTCCCCTGTGCCAGCCTTGCTGCTGTAGCAGGAGCAGCTTCAAGGCCGGTTCCCTGTGGGCAACAGCGCCTGGGTGAGGAGGGGTGTCTCGACCAGCCTGGGGCCCACGAGTTTGTTTGCTAAGGGCCCACCAAATGTTAATCTGGCCCTGTGGCTACCCCTGTTTCCAATCTGCAACTCTTCTCCAGGGCAGACACCAGCCCGCACCTGGTGCAGATGACCCTCTGGGAGGAACACAAATATGGCATATCTCAGCTTTCTTCTGCCTCCTGTGCTCTGCCCTGGAGCAAGTGGGCAAGAGCCCATGGATGGATCTGGTACTTCATTTTCTAAGTGGTTCAAGAGCCCCAGGGGTGATGACTTAGCTTGGACCTGCTGCAGCGGTAGGAGGGATAGATTTCAGGCAAGCTTTGGAGCCAGCAGGGCTCTTCTTCAAATCTAAGCAGCAGTGGCGGCTTTGCTCCAATACTCCTACAAAGATGTTAACTTTTGTACTCTGGGTGTTCTTTGAAGATGCCTTGAGAAGCGGAAATAATAATTTAAAAAATGTATTTGGGGCCGCCACTGCTTTTTCAGGATCATTTGATCTAGGTGGCACAGCCAGCTCTGGCTCTTGGCTTCCCTTCTGGGAGGTCTTTGGCAAGATCTTTAAAGGGCCTGATTATGTCATCCAAAGCTGCAACCCAAGCTGCACTGATCCTCTCTTCCCACCTGAGGGAACTATGTTGATGCTTAGGCCCAGTTTACACTTAAAAACTTTAGCAGTTCTGGTTAAGGTTGTGATTATTTGTGTGTGTGTGTGTGTTTATAAATAAATAAATGGGGGTAGTTAGGGCCTTGTTACACTGCAATTTTAGGCAACTCCTAGAGCTCTTAACCCCTGAAACTAAGCACTCATTACGCAGCTCAAAATTACACCACTCCAGGGCAGGATTATCTCTGATCCATGCTACCCTGCTCCTGTTACACTACAATGTAACCACTCTAGGCTACACCTTAGTGTAAACATCCCACCCCTGATCCTGATTTCTTGCCAGAGATGCTACTGGAGCAGTTGATACTGTTGGAGTCAGGCTGGGCAATTGTTTTCAGTGGGAACTGTGAATCTTCTAGCCCGGGGAGGATCCAACTGGTAGTGGACTCCATTTCCATGATTGTGCCATCATTGGTCAAGTCTTCTAGTGACCTTATAAAGGACTTCCAACAATGAGAAAGAAGTAACCCAACCCAGAAGCATAACAAGCAACCAATCTTGCAACCCTTCTAAAGTCAGTGGTAGGGGCTAGTGCCCCACTCACCCATCCCCTAGTTACACTCCTGAACCCAATTAATGTTGCTTATAAAAAAAAAATAACCAAAACAATATACTGTAAAATAACAACTACAACAATTTTCCCCAATCCAACAACTCATACTGAACTAGTACTTATCTATCAAAAAGAAGCAGTAAAGGGGATTTTTATTTTTGGTTTTCGGTTCACTTCAAGCAGGAATATTCCATGATTTAATGCAGACATAGTTACATAGAATAGTTAAATTCTATGATAGAAAACCTTAATAAAAAGCAAGTGACTTTCAGTATGAAATTATTTATTTATTTATTTGTATAACTTCCATTGCTTGCCAAATAAAAAAGAAGATAAAATATATATTTGCATAAGTTAATATATTAATATTTTCAAATGCATTTATGATGAATAAATACATTTTGAAATACATTTAATAGTGATACTTCATGTTACAAACGTGAAACATACCCATCTTTTTCTCAAAGCATACATTTTTCTCATTCTTTCCATTTAAGTGTGTAAAACCTGTAAAGTGAACCAATAAATTTTTATTTTTCTTACTGCAAAGAGAGTTTTTGGCTTCCAGAAAAAGCTCGTGAAAAAGATGAAAACTGAGAGATATCAAGGGAAAATAATTCAAGAGTGAATAATGTATGGTTGGAAGTATGGCAGCAGAGCATTTATATTACAAGTATGTCTACATCATGTCTCCACTGCTTTCAGGGAGGAATGCTTCAGACCATGTCTTGCATATTTGTGCCAGACCCGGAGTTGCAGCAATTCATCCATTCTGTGGGTATCCTCAGCAGCCTTCCCTAAGAGCTGTGTGTAGACAATGGCTCTAGAGGCATGAGTTAGAGCCGCACTCCGGACTTGTGCCAAGGCCTTGTCCAGTCAGCTCAGCTATGCATGGGTACCTGGACACTGGAACTGGGAAATCAAAGGCAATCAGATGTGATATTTGCCACATCACTCTCTTATGTGCATTTGTCTGCAGAATCTTCAGGGCCTTAAATAACCTAGCACAATGGGTCAACTTGTCTTTGGATAACCTTTGACCATTTTTTACTTCAGCTGAAGAAATTCTTTCCTAATGCTTAAGTGGCAACAGGCAAAAATTCTCTGGAAAGGAAAAAGAAATAGAAATCCAAATAAAATATACAATTAAATATTTTTAGATGTATAAGGTAACCGTGAAATGAATTCCTTTCATACATACAAATTTTTTATGGGTAAATGCTTAAAATCACACTAACTGATGCACTTTTACTTAACTTTCAATGCACTTTTATTTAGGTGTCTGAGCAAAACTAGGATGAATTTTGCATGCATAGCATACAGCAGTGGAAATGTCTACTTCTTTAAACTATTTTATCAAAAGAAAAAAACCCCTACAACTAATGAAAGTAGTGAAGTTAATCACTCACAATTTAGTATACAACAAATAAAAATTGCCCATACAACCTTAATTTGACCTCTTTGTATATATGGCCTACAGTACAGTCTTCAATTATATGATCAATTTCTTTCCTACAAGACCTCTTCCTCCTTTAGTGCAGATGGACAGTGTTCACTGAACACAGAGCTTCAATACTTATTTTACCTATTTCATTCAACATATGACCCTCCCTATTCCTTACTTTAAAATATTCAACTGAAGACATAATTATTAATTTCATCCTGGTATCATAACAGCATCTTGAGCACTTCCAAATATTTATAACTTTATATTCACAACAACCCTCTAAAGTGGTGGTCCTATCCTCATTTTAGATATAGGGAATTGAGGCACACAGAAATTAAAGTTAAATATGTCTGTCAATTTTGGGTGTCCAATCTGAGATGGCTAAGGGTATGATAGTCACGAGTATATAATGCACTGTTTTTATATGTGCAAAGAAGAGCTTCCATTGACTTTAGATGCAACTGTAGATGCTTGGCACTTCTTTAAACCAGACTCCATTCTGAAGATGGGCACTCAGAGAATAGAAAACTCACTGTAGCCACCCAAAGTTCAAATTGATTTGCCTAACTGTCTACAGGAATTGTGTGGCAGTGGCTGAAATAGAACCCATTTTGTTAGGGCAGCAATCCATCAGTCCGTATCCCAATGCTATCTATTTGTCCTCTTCTCCCACAGTTCCCAGCCATAGTCTCTGTACCAGGCACCTCCTCCTAATCT